CAGTTTTTTTAAGCTGTTACCATCCAGTAAATGCTGTTTGAGAAATAATTAAAACTATTATTATTTTTTTGATTAATCAACGATAAGGTTTTTTTGTTCAGTAGGTACATATTTCTTTCTTTAGCCTTTTACGAATCTGTTCTTTAAATAACATTTTTTAAATAATGAAGGGTAGATAAAGAAAAACTTGGACGTTAATGATATTATAATATTTTAAACTTGATACATTTAAAGCCATACATTTTTGTTTTGTGTTAAAATTAAATAGCTGTATACTTTTTATAGTAAAATTTATGATAGTGCAGGTATCAAAGTAACGCAGTTTTTCTATGCCATTTCTGAATATTCAAAGTGGTAAACAAGTCGTAATACCGGAGATATTTATTTAAGTAATTTATGTATGACCTTGGTGTCTAATTTAAGCTTAGAGTACAATTAATTGATTACATTTCCTAAATTATACGGTTTAACCCCGTAATTTTTTAAACTAGAAAATTCTGTTACACCATATAACAAAATAACTGTATATTGATATGTATAAAATCCTGTCCCTACAAAAGTTCAAATAATGTCAGTAAAGATTGTAATTATAAATATTCAATGGAGTATATTTTGTCGCTGAAGGGTAAGTGTACGCCAAAAAGGGCGGCAGGGTTTTCTCATAAATTTTAGATGTGGAGAGTTTTCTAAAGCTTAATGGAACTTTTGTTACTCCGTTTGGGCTAAAGGGGCGTAAGTGCGTATCTTTATTTGAGTTTGGTGAATATTTGAAATTATTTCACACCATTGTATTTACGTTAGCGAGGAGAGTATTTTTAATCTAGCCATAAATGTATTATGGCTTGTTTCAACAAATTTTCCAATTAAAACGGAGATTTTCAAAACTACTTTTTTGCGCGCGAGGTATTTCGCCGTTTGCAATACTTGAAAACGACGTTAATACTTATTATGCCTGAATGGATGGAAATTGGAAAAAATATTTATGGTTACGATAATGTTGTTACAAAAGTACACCTCTTGACATTAATTAAATTTGTTTATATTGTACTAATTGATTTTTTAACGTTGTAAAAGTACTAAAAACACATTTAATAGGGCAGTAGCTAGTTGATTATTCTTAAAGCACGTTATTTCTTGTCTTGAGGTCTGGGAATAGATCAAAACCTCAGAATGAACCTGATGACTTTTGGCCTTGCAACAATGTAGTTTCCAGTGATTTTGTAGTAAATGATCGTCTTAGTTTAATAAAATTGGTCTACAAATAATTTTAGTAAATTATACAAAAGGATTTCAACAGTTATCTTATAACGTTATACAATTCAAAAATTGATAATAATTTTTTTAATTTAGTCAGGATGTGGAATAAAGCTTTATATTTAGTACTTATTATCATTTAGCAGTACTTAATAGTTTACAGTAACCTAATACGACTATTGCTTTTCTGAAATACTTAAGATGAGAAATTTCAGATCTCTATAAACGAAAAACTATTCGAAATTGAGGCTAGTGAAATCAGAATTTCAGTTAAAGGGTTAAATCCAGAGAGTTATTTGCTGAGTCGGTCCTAAAACAGATCCCGCTTAGGCGTATGTTAGAGTAGGACCAAGTTAGCTGTAAACCACAGTCATTCACAGAGCAGCGTGTTCATAAATATCCTACAGCAATGGTCAGTGTTCAAAGAGAATGTTTAATAGTGAGGCCTGCGTTTTAGAGGATATTGCACGTGTAGTAGTAGTTGCGCCGAGTAGCATTTGCGCCGCGGATTAAATCGTGCTTCCAGCGCCGCGGAGTTTGATTAGTTCAATGATGCAGAAGTGACGAGGGTCATAATTACTTACACATTACTTGACTGAGTTGCTTGTAAATAGTGTCGTTTTCCATACTCCTAATTAACTTGTACTAGTAGTGCACTGTTGCACAAAAAAAATGATGAAACACTTGTATACCACCACATCCAGTATTGAGTTAGTATAGATATTTTTCCTGAGCTATAATAATTATAACCAGTAGATATTTTCTACTTATCACATTACTAATTTAGGAGTAAGGGCGACTTTGGTTTTCCTATGAAATTTTTAGAAAATAGTTGCACCAGGATAGTCTGCGGTGCTATGTGGAATGCAAACAGCTCGTCATATTGGTATTGGTATTAGGGGGATTTGCTAGGGGTATATATCCCCATACCTTTTGTAGTAACCCACTCCCTTACGTTACCTTTGGTCACTCAATGGTGTTGTCATTGTCAGTTTCGAGTAGAATTTAGCAGAATGAACATCGTCGAATCCACACAGAAGGGCTCAATTTTCAATCATTTCGTCTACTACAATTGACCTACTGTAGCCTACATTATATCATCGATAAAAACCTTTCTGAAACCTCTAACCGAATAAATGAATCGATAAATAATTTCGAACCATGCAATTGCTTACAATCGACATTTACAACTGTTCACAACAGTTGACTTGTACTCCCTAGGGACTAAAAAGGCTTTTTACTACTGGTGATTAAAACGTTATATAGTTTAGACCATATGGTTTCGTCTTTTGTTTGCTATCTAAAGGTTATACATCGAAGTGAAGGATCACGGGCTCATACATAAAACCCCATTATAAAAAGGTTTGTCATAATTACAGGTTCTAAAAAAGTTAACCATGTAAATAAATCATAAATCAATAACTTGAGGGGGGGCAAGCCCAAAATGACACTTCTAGCTACCATTCGTCCCTCTGCTATATCATAAGATGTACAAGGACACCTACATCGAAAACATTGGTTAATCAAAACGGGTGAAAAGTTATTTAACAAAAAACCTTATGGTATCAGGTACACAGTTTCATTGTGTGTTAACACTTAGCTAAACTAAACAGACAATACCCCCACCGCAGCAAACCTGCCGACTAAGCGAATTTCCATTTGTCTGAATTGATTTTCAATTGAATGTATATAAATAAAATTAGGTTTAACGAGTACCTAGGTTAGCTGCTACAAGGAAACTATTAAAGTGGAGTTTTAGTAAAATGTGGATAGCTTAGTATAAAATAAATAAATTTGCCAAAAATAAATAAGTTTGATCAAAATATATCCATAAACAAGCAAACTAAAATTACTCAAGTTATCGCGTTCACGGACGTATATAAATCTATACAAAATGAAAAAGTAAATTGGTCACGGGCCTAGTATATAGGTCTTACGGTGCCACCTGCGGTAATAGCTACTTCCCTATAGGGAATTCGAATTTAACATTATGGTACAGAAGACGTAAGTATCGTTAATTTATTTATATTATACCTATGTGTAGGTAAATAACAACAGGTTTCATTCCGATATCGGTGGTTCGTAAACTTAATCAAGGTGATTCAACCTTCATGCCAAATTTAATCAAAATCGCACGAGAAGCGATAAGTCTAGGCCGGGAGCGCGCCCGAGTTCACGTGCAAACCTCGCACTTTCAAGTTGATGATTTTTTAAATATTGGTGGGAATGGATGGGGATTTGTAATGTTTATTGAGTTGTACAATAGTATTGAACATTTGCATAGGCTTGTATAGGCCGAAAGCAGGGTTTTTAGAAAATGGCTAAAAACTCACCCATGTTATTCTTATGGAGAAAAAGTGCCTAAAGTGAGGTCATATTACTATATTATACCTCCTTTATATTTAATGGGTCAATAAATTAAAGAATTAGCCTTTTTAGCTGATTTCGAATATAGTATATGAGGATTATATGTAGGGATATGTAGTCAAAGATCAGGATTTTTGGAATTATTGGCTAAAAAATGATCCCCATGTTATTTTTAAGGGGAAAACGCCTAAAGTCGGGTATCTTTGTGGTATTGCCACTACACGTTTTAGAGAGTTATTTTGTAAACTTAATATGTACTTGTATTTCTAGACTTAAGATAAACTTAAATTGATATAAGGCCTGTCTCAACTCCCAGGCTTCACGAAGCGCAATGTATTACTACCATCAAACCTGGTACAGAAACAAACTATTTTTTTAGTAATTTCCTCTCTTTTGAGTTATTGGTAATTAATTGGTTTTAGGTAGCCCTTATACTGAAACGGCGGAGTGTACTGTGTATTGTTTTCAACCAGTGAACGATATTTGCATATATTTTTGGTGTCATCAATTTTACAGTTAGGTCTATTAGATTTAAAATTATGTGTAACCAGCATGGGTCACGAGGTGACTGCATGCGACCACTTTACGCTGAAAGTAAAATGTGGTAGGAACATAAGTCCTCAATAACCCTATTAGTACAGTTGATTGGTTCCGCCATTGTTAACCTGACAAAACTGCTAACCCTCATTTAATTAGCTGGCGCGGCGCTGGTGCTACGCGGCGCAAATACTACTCGGCGCAAATACTACTCAACCGATATTGCATACATTAAGCAGGCAATTTGTGTTATGTTTAACATCATTATTTGTAATTATAACGGTAAAGTATCTTAATTACTACTGTAACATGTCTTCGAAAGGCTTACATATCACGTCAGTGTTTATCTTAAGGCATTTGTTATTACGTATCAATGATTGTTTAGGTATTAAAATAAGTGTACATTTTTTTCCTAAATTTTTTTAAAAATGTAATAAATAAATGGAATCGATACACAATCGTAGTAAAAAGATACCTTTACTTGGAAACCACGTCAGTAGAATACTTTAACTGTTCTTTGTATATAAATGTTCTCTTAAATCAAATAAATCTCACCTACCTACTGGCACAGAAAACATATTACTATAACCTTATAGTATATAGTAGTATGTTTTCTGTGCTACTGGAGGAATACGAAAACTGCCATTAGGTTCCTACACTAGTACAATAATCACATTGTACAAGGTTTTAAAGGCAACACTAATATTAAATCCCATTTAAACTCCTAAGTATGTAAAGAAATCATGCAACTGAAAAGGAATGACAGTGTACACACTCTTTGATGATAATTTACCCTTGATTGATTAAAAATGTATAGTAGTATTTATTATTTTAATACTTACGGATTTAGTTCATTTGAGGACAGCACCTAAAACAGTAAAATTTTGATAATTAAAACCAAAGAAATTATAACATTCGTTTTTATGAGTTAAATATAATACCTGCATATAAAAAAGTGTTAACTTAAAAGAATGCATGAGTCACATATGTTATGATTTTCGATTATAATTGGATTTTGTTTCAATTATTTAATGTTGAAATATAGAAAGAATTTTAGTAAAAGATTTACAATTAAAACAGATTTTCAAAGCACTTATATGCCCTAAATATCTGATTGTCTACATGAGTAAGTGGAAATTATTAGGAACTCGAATCGAGACTAAATAGATAAAACAATTACGCGGGCTTTGAGCATAGTACATACGGATATGTAGCGCTGCAATTAATATTGCTGCCAAGTACTAAATCAAGGTACATATAATTAGTTCTACATCGAAGATGTATAAATGGATTGCACCAAATAATAGTGTAGCAACTAAGCGTATGCTTTACTCGCGAACTAACTTGATTAGCAAGGGTTTATAAAAACAGAATGGCAACAATGTTTCAGAGGGATTATGTAATTACTGCTGAAAATTCCTTTTATTCCTTTATGATTTAGAATAACAACACAAAACAGTGTTATGTTGTAGATTGTAACTTTGAACGAGTCACAGTTCAACGTTTTACTGTTCTCAGTTTCATGTTAGTTGTCGAGCTTTAGAGTTTAACTGCAGACCGTAAAAGCTTTTGCCATTTTTAATTCCTAAAACAGGGATGATACTAGTTACCCTAGTTATTTAACAAAGTAAACCATGGTATAACCAACATAGTAACATATTAAAATAGTATAACCAAGTTCAGACGTATGTTGTTGAGAAGCTAAACGAATCAATTGGTCGTTTATAAGTATGCATTGGATATCGGTAAATAGTATATTCATTTATTTTGTTCCTACTGCATGGATATATAATTGTGTATTACAAAATGGGTCATGTAACTTTGTTATCAAAACACACATAAGAGTACTCAAAAATCATAAAACTATAATCATTCATGTGATAAAATAACTAGGTTTTTATAGTATTATCTAAAATAAAAATTACAATAACTTGTAGATCTTACTAAAATGATCTGTGATTCTCTAGAATTTGCTTGAAATACAATGCTATTGATGGTGCTTTTCGATAAAATTGTTAAGAACAATGCGATTTAAAATATGTCATTGATGATTTGATGTAACTTAATCTTATTTTGCTATTTATCTTAATTTGGATTATTTTAGTACCGATTAAGAAAATAAGAAATATTGGATATCGCATACACAAAGCAAAACATGATCTGTGTAAGCCTGACTAGAAGTCTGTGTATGATAATAAAACCTTTTGGATACTTTTTTTAAACAAACGAAAATTTTATGGGTTAGGGGTACTATAGTATATTTCGTACCTAGGGCCGAAAATGAGGTTTTGCCGACTCGAGATAATTGTTAAGTTCGAGACAAGGTCGAGAATTTAAATGATCGAGAGCTGCAAAACCATTTCGGTCCGTGGTACGATCGCTAATTTTCACCACACTATACCCTAACCACTATTCACCTCAATAATATTGCACACTGATAGTCAACACAACTACAACTTTAAGGGTATGTGAATAAATAATTTGAGGAATCAGCAAAAATAGTAATAAATAGTTGCTAGGCAGCGGCGACAATAAAACAATTCTATTGCAATGCTATGGATACTGATTGTGTATTTCATATGCATTCATGTTTCAACAAAGCAAGCGGGCAGCTGATTTTGCGGCCCTAGGGATGTAAAAACTTGCTCGGTCCCCAAATGATGGTGACAGTTGGCATGGCCAACAAAACGTAACTTTCAGCCACCAATTAACGTATGTAAAACAGCTAAAAACATCATAGTGCGGTGACAAAATCATTAATGAATATTAGTTTTTTAAATAAGGAAAACCTAGAGTGTTACATCGCATACTTATTGAGGGCGTGGCCCCATTGTTAACGGATAGTTTACTCGTATTCCTCACGCAATTACGTGCCTACTGTTCAATTCTTACACCTTTGGGGCCACCGAGCGCTAGTGGATATGATAGTTTCTTGCAATAAATTAATATGATGATGTGTAGTGAGTTATATTGAGAAATAATGAGAACTACATATAAAATATGTTTTTGATTAGATAATGATGTGAGGTGTATTTATGAATATATTATCAGTCGATGAAACTATTGTACAGCTCATTACATGAAAAATTTTTCATGCAAGTTAAATTTATTTGAAGTGAAGATAAATACAATGGACGTTAAGCTATTTAATTTTTGCAATAAATCTTAAACTAAAAATGTATCCAGCCATATTGTAAAATTTATAAATAAACAACTTTTTTTAAACAACCCGTTTTTAAACGCACTAAATGTAGAAAATAATTTATAATTATGTGGAGAGTATAAATACTTGTACGATTTAAAACAAAAAACGTGGGGTGCATGCAATAGATAATACAATTTCACCTATTGAACTAATGTATTATTATCAATTGCATGCACCCCACGTTTTTTTGTTTTAAATCGTACAAGTATTTATACTCTCCACATAATTATAAATTATTTTCTACTTTTTAGTGCGTTTAAACACGTTTTGTTTGAAAAAAAGTTTTTTTATTAATAAATTATTTTCTACTTTTTAGTTTTTAATGTGTATGGATGTTAAATCTATTTCAAGCATCTATAAGATAGAGGCATGTGGGAAATCAAAGGTTTATTTGAGTTTCTTTTCATATAATTATGTATTAGATTGAATGTATGGCCTACATCCTAACTATACATAGGTATATCAATCTATTTAATTGATTGTTTACTTTATAGAATACTAAATACATAACAATTTACATTATTAACAAACACCTTTATATTTGCAATCAGATTGTTTGTCTTTATTTTGTAATGTTTGTTTGTATAAAGAATCTCTTGGGAGCATAACCTGTACCTCTTAAGCTCTGCTCTTCGAACTGTCAAATTTAAGTATTTACAGCTGACTTAAATTGATATATTTACATTCATAAAAAATGTAAACATGAAAAATTTGGAAGCCCATGGGGCGTAGCCCAAGGGAAATATGAAAATAAAAAGCTTATGCTTATACGATCTAATAAAGATGTTTTAAAATACAATAAATACAGTACAAATATTTTCTATAAGTTTTGGCAGATCAAAACAGATTTAATGGTCTTATACAACCTTATCTGAATAGTATTTAACGTCCCAGTTATAAAATGGCTCTAGCGTTAGAAAACGTGTTCTTCATTGAACGATAGCTTGTGTAATTAACGATAAACAACCGAGTTTTCCTTCTCGACCTCTTACGCTTGGACTGCGTAAACATTAATTGAGGATTTTAAAATTGAGGGAAAAGTTTTAGAGATTTACAGCTATTCAATCCAGAAACTTGACCCACTTTAGACAGAAAACTTAACTAGGTCAAGTTTTAAGCACGAAAAATATTATCAATCCTTTCTCTCCTAGTTGTTTTTATTTTGATACGTTAAGTAACACAAAACTTAGTGTTTAACAATGTGTCCTTTAGGTTTAGCTCAGACTATACGTTATCAGATTTAAAAAATAACAATAATTCACATCAAAAAATGTTAATGGTATATGCTAATTCAGCTCTATAGGTTAATTATTTTGGCGGCCAAACATGGGGATGCAATTTCAATAGTCTTTTATGGTCAAATATATGTCGTCAAGAAAATTTTATACTTGAATTCTTCCGATATTTCAGAATTTCCCATGCCAGACACATAGTAGGTGTGGCTGGTGCTGATCAGACAACAGATGTGTCGTGTTATCACCAAGGACGACAACTGGTGATAACGCCAGACACGACAACGCCATTGTTTGTTATCACAACATATCTGCGACAGTCACGCCGGGCGTTGTGTGACTCCGGCTCTACTTTGATTACAGTTGAGGTTTTGATTTGGAATCATTTATAGACAAATACCATTATCAAGCATAACAGTTACACTAGTGCCTAGTGAAGTGTTTAAAACTGTTACATGTAAAAATCTTGAAATGGTGTTACAAACTGAGTAAGTGTCAAATACTGCAAATCAATTTGAAATATTACCTCAATGGAACGTATTAAAGATTAAAGGGTCAATGAACAAGCATACTTCATTGTGCTAAGAATAAAACCAGACTTCTCCAAAAGACTTAAGGTCAAACTATATCTTTTGACTATGGGCTTAATTAGATGTTCTTTTTTGTAAAAGTTTTATCCAGCTTTATAAACAAAAATAATTTAGTAAGTAAGCAACATAGTACGATATGTTGTCACAACAACAAGCAACAAAAAAAATAAAAGGAATATTTAGTCATACTAAAAATATAGATTAGCTCATTCTCTAAGTGGTCCATGGTCCATTTCACTCATTTATGTTATTTTTCTAATCATTCATAATAATTGTAAGATCAGTTCTCAGTTGATGTTTAAGAATATTTAAGATTTTAAAGATTAAATTTTAGATATTTGTATTTAACCACTTTAAAATTAGGAATTAAGGCAGTCTATAATACTGAAGCTATTTAATCCTTGTATTTTTAAATTTGCGATCAACAAATAATATTATACACCATTTCTGTCGTAATTGAAGCACTAAACAATTAGCTAACATTGAAAAATAAGTTTTTTAAACTTGAAATGCCAGCCTGACAACACGAGCAATTATGTTGTCGTGGTGTTTAGTCATTTGTCATGACCGCAAAGCTGACGACACTTGTACAACTGTTTGTAAACAACTGAGAACTGACAACATTCATTCACAAGCCTGCGTGCCAACGTCGACTTTGGGTAGTGAAGTATACTTCCCAACAGCTGTAGTCTAGCTAGTTATTCAACGAGAGGTTGGTTAAGTCTGTAACCCTCTCATAGGCCGTGCAACTACTCAACATTTTATATCATAAGTTTTTTTTTATAAGCCAATGAATTTGATAGGGGTGTAAATTATTTTATCCTTGGGAAAACAGAAAGAT